CTCAGGCCTGTAATCCCAACAGTGGCTCACGCCTGTAATCCCTAAGGTGGGAGGATTGTTTGAGCTCAGGAGTTTGAGACCAGCCTGGGCAATATAGTGAGACCTCGTATCTACTAAAAAATAAGAAAAATTAGCCAGGCATGGTAGCGCACACCTGTAGTCCCAGTTACTCAGTAGGCTGAGGCAGGAAGATGACTTGAGCCTGGGAGTTCGAGACTGCAGTGAGCCATAATTGTGACACTGCATTCCAGCTTGGGTGACACAGTGAGACTCCGTCTCAAAAAAAAAAAAAAAAAAAAAAAAAAAAAAAAAAGGAAAAGAAAAAGAAGAAAAAGAAAAATTACATGTCTTCAATCACAGTATAATGCTACCTGCTTGTACTGGAGTCTTCTGTCTGTAAACTGTGAGGACAAAGCCCATTGTTATTTGTAGCACTGTGTTTCACTGCTGGCCTGTTCGCAGCACAGATGAATGTGAATTGAATGAATGGATGGGTGGAGGAACGAGTCTCTTTTGGATTGATAGTTGTTGGGAGATAATTCTCCATGGGTGTCTTGCGTTGCTGAATGTCTTGCAAGCAAACGTCCTGACTGCCTTTGTTCCAGATTACATTTTAGAGAATGTTCACATAGTAAACAGCCTGGAAAGATAGAGATGGTATCTTTCTTCAGAGCAAAGAGCAAGCATGTTTACTATCTGTTATAAAAGATTTGGGTTTCCTAATATAATTCAGCCTTAAAAAGAAAGGAAATTCTGGCAGACACTAGCACATGGATGAAAATTGAGGTCATTATGCTAAGTGACATGAGCCAGACACAAAAAGACAGATACTGTATGATTCCACTTACATGAGTACCTAGAGTTATCAAATTCATAGACACAGAAAGTGCAGTAGTGGTTGCCAGGGGTTTGGGGAGCGGAAAATGGGGAGTTGTTCAGTAGGTACAGAGTTTCTGTTATGTAGGATGAAAATATTCTGGAGATCTGTTGCATAACAAGGTGAATACTTAAGACTACTGAACTGTCCACTTAGAAACGGTTAAGGTGGTAATTTTATTTATTTATTTATTTATTTATTTATTTATTTATTGCCACAGACACAAATGCAGTTTTGGGTTTCCTAAGCTCATGGTTCCTCTCCTATGACGCAGCTCTCCACATGACTTTGCACTGCCCTGTGGGAACTGGGGCTTGAGGAAGTGATGCAAGTAGCAGTAATCTGGCTACTGCTGTTGCTGTGAGTAATCAACTGTCCTTTGTCTTTGACCCAGGAGTCTTTCATCTTCTGCCAGCACCCACGAAACTTGCTAACTCACAAGTAGGGTAAATCTCAGACTTTGCAGTAGACAATCGTGATTTCTGTACATTTTCCTTGGAACACTTTTGACAACCGCAGGTAAACACTTATCTTTAAGTACCTTTAAATACTTGTCTGCTTCATTGAACCCTAAGCTTGTTTTGTTTTTGAGACAGAGCCTCACTCTGTCGCCCAGGCTGGAGTGCAGTGGAGCGATCTTGACTCACTGCAACCTCCGCCTCCCCGGTTCAAGCAATTCTCCCTGCCTCAGCCTCCTGAGTAGCTGGGATTACGGGCACTCACTGCCACGCCCAGCTAATTTTTGTATTTTTAGTAGAGACGGGATTTCACCATGTTGGCCAGGCTCGTCGTGAACTGCTGGCCTCAGGTGATCTACCCGCCTTGGCCTCCTAAAGTGCTGGGATTACAGGCATGAGCCATCGCGCCCGGCCAACGCTGAGCTTTCTTGTTTGCAGTTTTATTCCCAGTGCCTGGCACA